ATATGTGTATCTATTACGAATAAACTCATTATTTACTGCTAATAATCAAGTAGGGAATAGCATGACCCAGGAGCTGTGTGTTAAAGCTTTCACGAGGTCGGCTGGCACACACGCGCACAGAGACTTAAGAAATTAAACCTCATGTCGCTGGAAGACAGAGGAGTTAGGGGGCATAACATGATCACCACATACAAGATTCTTAGAGGAATTGACAGGATAGATAAAACAGTTTATTTAACACAAGGGGCACGCACACTAGGGACACAGTTGGAAACTTAGTACCCAAATGAGTCACAGGGACGTTAGAAAGAACTTTTTCAGTGTCAGAGTAGTTAACAGGTGGAATGCATTAGGAAGCGATGTGGTGGAGGCTGACTCCATACACAGTTTCAAATGTAGATATGATAGAGCCCAGTAGGCTCAGGAACCTGTACACCAGTTGATTGACAGTTGAGAGGCGGGACCAAAGAGCCAGAGCTCAACCCCCGCAAGCACAAATAGGTGAGTACAACTAGGGGAGTACACACAAACACACGCACGCACACACACACACACTATAAGAACCAAAATGACTTGAACAGAACACTCAGCAACACTCACTCAAGTGTGCGTGATTTGGGACACTCGTCGCCCACATATCCCTTGTATTTCTGACAAGAAATCGAACCCCCGGAATCGAACCCCCGGTCAACAGGACTACGTATTCAGTCTGTTATCGTGACAGCTAAGTAAGTTGAGCATGTGAGTCCCAGTGTGAGCATGCAGTCTGGACCCATACACACCACTCACAACTGATGACATTCCAACTTTTCTCGAACAGTGTTTCGTTCACGTCCTGTGCTCGAAATGTCCCTCTATAAATGCTTCATCTACTTACTGATGACAAACTCAACATTGATGAACGCTTCTTTGGGGTCGGCGGCCACTTGAACGAGCCTAGCCTGAGGATAGGTCGTGGTAAGGCGGATTGGTCGTGATTAGGTCATGGTAAGGCCACGACCACGTGGTCCATGGTATCCGGTCCTTACATTAAATCCAAATAAAATATTTAACAGAAATAAAATTTGCATCTGGAGACACTGGAAATATTAATTATTTCAGTCCAGTAAATTAAAGTTTAATTACAAATAATGCATTTAATACAAAATTAATACAGCAACACATTAATACTTCCCTTCAAGAAGATTAGCATTTTGAAATTTCTACCACTGAGTCCTGAACTCTTCTGTATTTAAAACGACAATCCTCAAAGAACAGAGTCTCGCGTCGGTCTCCTGTAGCATGCAGTCCTCTTTTAGTTTTTCAGCATCATGACTACATTCACCATCACCAAGAACAAGAAATACTCGTCACTGAAGACGTAGAAAAAGCCTTTGATACAGTCTGACACGAAGGACTCAAACTGCCGTAACTTTGAGCTCCTACTCATGACAAATACAAAAAAATGGCTCCCGTGTAACAACTTAGACAACAGAACTATGCCAATTAAATTCCCCCAAAGACAGACATAGATGCTGCAGATCCGTTGGGATCCTGAGCTTACAGAAACGCGCTGCAGATCCGTTGGGATCCTGAGCTTCCAGAAACGCTGCAGATCCGTTGTGATCCTGAGCTTCCAGAAACGCTGCAGATCCGTTGGGATCCTGAGCTTCCAGAAACACTGCAGATCCGTTGGGATCCTGAGCTTCCAGAAACGCTGCAGATCCGTTGGGATCCTGAGCTTCCAGAAACACTGCAGATCCGTTGGGATCTGAGCTTCCAGAAACACTGCAGATCCGTTGGGATCTTGAGCTTCCAGAAACGCTGCAGATCCGTTGGGATCCTGAGCTTCCAGAAATACTGCAGATCCGTTGGGATCCTGAGCTTCCAGAAACGCTCCAGATCCGTTGGAAACCCGAGTTTCCAGAGACGTTACAGATTCGTTGCTTTCGTGAACTTCCCAAGTCGCTACAGATCAAGAGCGTTCGTGAGTTTCCAGTGACAATATAAAAAAAGCATTACAAACTTACTGACATGACGCTCCCTCGGTGTTATTGAATTACAGTTCTCAGTAATGGACAGAACGCGAGATCTGATTCGAGGAATTTTGACGACAGAGTATATTGAACTCGATGCTTTTGACGAAACTCACCTTATTGGAAATGTATAGATATAGATCAATTTTTGCAATTGATAAGGCTAAATCCTTTTTCCAGACTCCTCTTATACGATCACTGAAGCGATCTTTATCAATTTGATACCTTCGAATGGGAGCTTTGACGTGTTGTGATGCGTTGTCCTTTGATGCGTTGGGATTTGACTTCATCGTAACGCATAAAGGGAAAGAATTCATCAGATGAATCTATTGTTCTGCACTTTCAAAGAATTACATATTTTCCAGATGTAAATGTTGTTTACTTCTTGAGCATGTACGGTATTATGATTTAATATTTTGGCGTTTTCTTAACAGTAAAGAAATACAAAAACAAGTCGGAAATACAGAGAGCGGTAGAGGACCTGACAACGTACAGGACCTGACAATGTACAGGACCTGACAGCGTACAGGACCTGACAACGTACAGGACCTGACAACGTACAGGACCTGACAATGTACAGGACCTGACAATGTACAGGACCTGACTACGTACAGGACCTGACTACGTACAGGACCTGACTACGTACAGGACCTGACTACGTACAGGACCTGACAATGTACAGGACCTGACAATGTACAGGACCTGACAATGTACAGGACCTGACAATGTACAGGACCTGACAATGTACAGGACCTGACAACGCACAGGACCTGACAACGTACAGGACCTGACAGCGAACAGGACCTGACAACGTACAGGACCTGACAATGTACAGGACCTGACAACGCACAGGACCTGCCAACGCACAGGACCTGACAGCGTACAGGACCTGACAACGTACAGGACCTGACAATGTACAGGACCTGACAATGTACAGGACCTGACAATGTACAGGACCTGACAGCGTACAGGACCTGACAACGTACAGGACCTGACAACGTACAGGACCTGACAGCGTACAGGACCTGACAACGTACAGGACCTGACAACGTACAGGACCTGACAGCGTACAGGACCTGACAGCGTACAGGACCTGACAACGTACAGGACCTGACAACGTACAGGACCTGACAATGAAACAGTACCAGACAACGAAACAGTCCTAGATAACGAAGCTGAGTGGAAAACTTTAGTAATGATTTTTTATTACAAGTAGCGTAAACAAGGAGGCCTGGTCGAGGACCGGGCCGCGGGGACGCTAAGCCACGGAATCATCGCAAAGTAAGCAGCGTTAGGCTACAGGAGCCTGATTGACACTAACTTCACCCTAACCCAAGCTATCTAGTCGCCTCGGAGCATAAAGTGCGTTCCAGTGCCTTGAGTGCCTTCCTTCCAGTGCACTCTGGAAGGAAGTGGCCTTCCAGTGCCTTCCAGTGTCTCAAACGCTTGGAGGGCCCGAGGCCACCAAGACCTGTCACGGCAGACAACGAGGTCTGTCACGGCAGACAACGAGGTCTGTCACGGCAGACAACGAGGTCTGTCACGGCAGACAACGAGGTCTGTCACGGCAGACAACGAGGTCTGTCACGGCAGACAACGAGGTCTGTCACGGCAGACAACGAGGTCTGTCACGGCAGACAACGAGGTCTGTCACGGCAGACAACGAGGTCTGTCACGGCAGACAACGAGGTCTGTCACGGCAGACAACGAGGTCTGTCACGGCAGACAACGAGGTCTGTCACGGCAGACAACGAGGTCTGTCACGGCAGACAACGAGGTCTGTCACGGCAGACAACGAGGTCTGTCACGGCAGACAACGAGGTCTGTCACGGCAGACAACGAGGTCTGTCACGGCAGACAACGAGGTCTGTCACGGCAGACAACGAGGTCTGTCACGGCAGACAACGAGGTCTGTCACGGCAGGACACGGTGTCCTCGTCCTTTCTTAAATAAACAGGAACTGAGAGTGCTATTATTTTATTATTATTTTATTATTCTTTTGCTTTCCGAAGTCGCTAGAAATAGGTGTTGACAGACGAACAAGACAAGTTCACCACCCGTGGTTGGAGAAATTTATTAATTTATCAATCTTCATTTCATTTCATTCCTCATTTATCATTCCTCTTTTACTGTGTTAGTTTTCCTCGTTACTGTATGTCATCTCGACCTGCTTAAATACTCTCTCTCTCTCTCTCTCTCTCTCTCTCTCTCTCTCTCTCTCTCTCTCTCTCTCTCTCTCTCTCTCTCTCTCTCTCTCTCTCTCTCTCTCTCTCTCTCTCTCTCTTTCTCTCTCCCTGATCTCGTTGTTGTCTCCACACTGCTCTTGAAGGAGTCGATCGACTATTGTCCCCTAAAGAGCACAGAAGCGGAAGAAAGGGAAGAGGAAAAAGAATTGAATCTTCTAGCATTTGCTCGACGCGCCATTGATGCGCCATCATATGTTCTTGGATCCCACTTACAAGCTTCTGTGATCATCAATAGAATATATGGTTGTCATCCTATAACCACACCAGGAGAGGAATCCAGTCTTCTAACAGAATTCAGGACATCATTACGTTCCCATTACTTTCACTTCGATCTGCTTTTGCACTCCAGTGACCAGCTTTACCTTGGGCATTCAGGTTCAAGGCTCTAAGAGTAATTCGAGACATTATTTACGCTCGGGTGTCCTGCTCGGCAATGGTATCTGTTGTTCCTGCTCTCTCTACCTCTATCATCTGCAATCAGAAGCTTTGAACTCGCGTCATAAGCATCTTTGGAACCCTCATTTGTCACACTTTGATCCTGTCTCAAAGCTATCTTCAAACGCGTGTATTCGACTTCGAACATCTTCGAACTGTGTGCTCCCACTACTTGCAACGTGAAAAGAGGGAAGAACCGAGTCTTCAGACAACGTGTCAGGACTCCAAGAAAGGACAAAGTGGGGATCCATTGTAGGGCGAGAGCTTTCCATCTCCTCCATTGACTGTCTTTGTCGTGGCAAGAATGAGAGGTAAATCGAGGAAAAATGCCACTCAATGCGACCGTTTGAGTTCAATTGTAGGAGACATTGGACCGCCACTCGGCCAGGCGTCTCTCTACCATTCACAACGCCGCTATCTCTGAATGCCTCTAATTTTGGTGGGAACAATGGCACCGTCAGAGAGTTTCAGCCCACATCCTTCTGGCACTGGCTCAGGGCTGGTCTGACACTGGAACTGTGGCAGTTGTGATGTGATATTGACACTGAGTTAGATCCAGTACGGCAACAAATGGTCAGGATTTGCCTTTTTTTCAGACGTAGACGTAGTTAGACGTAGTCTGGCACAAGTAATGAATCAGGTCTGACCTGTCAGTGAGTCGGGGCCCCACACTGGGTGGGTCTGACAGAGTCAGGTCGATGGAGGCAGAGACACGGGAAGTCAGCTAAAGTGAGGAACAACTCACAGCTTGGAGTTATTTACGTATATTGTGTACAGTGCACAATTTTCGTTGCCTTTCTTATATTTTATTATCAACTGTCAACGTCAGCCAGTTTATGCCAACTGTCAACACTAGTAAATTAATACCAGTTGTCAACGCTGGTAAATAATACCAGCTATCAACACTGGTAAATAATACCAGCTGTCAACACTAGTAAATTAATGTCAGCTGTTAATACCAGCTGTCTACACTAGTAAATTAATACCAGCTGCCAACACCAGCCAGTAACAATAAGAACCATATTAATAATAATAATAGAGCCGTTTCAATACAATAGTGAGGAAGGCATCGTGAGCCAACACTACACAGGGGTCGCGGTGATCATTACATAAGGATTGGACACGTTAAGCAGCCGCTGCCAGCCGTAGCCCAGAGCAAGGAACACGGCGGCCACTGGGTGTTGACACTGACCTCAGCACTGGGCTACGAGGCCGCCACACGGGACTGTGTATACAGGAGCGTCTCCCGCTAAGAACAGAGGACATTTACAACCTCCCAGACTAGACAGTCGGCGAAGACGGGGGCGGTGAGTGGATTAGTTAGACGCGAGAGGGAAGAGCAAGAATCGCTGTTTAGTAAGTGCGTATACCTGGGTATCGGGACTTGCCGTGTATGTGTGCGAGAAAGAGAAATGGAAATTACACACACACACACGCGCGTCGTTGGGATGAGGCCTTGGAGGCGTGAAACATGCGACTGTACACAAACCTTCCCTAAAAATGCTCTAGGATTTTGACACTATCGACCACATCGAAAGAAGCACTGTAACTCTGATGCTTCCTTCCACTAACAACCAGTGGCCTCGGTGGGTTAGGTGGCGTTGCCACAACGTGCAAAACACAAAGGGCTAACCTAACCAGAAACGTACGAACCCAACCCACCCACCTAACCTACTGGAAAAAAACATGGATATTAGCGAAAACCGCTATGCCTCTCACAGTACTTTGTACGTTGGGGGCCATAACGTTCAAAATACGACGTATTGGTTGAAAGGACCGGGTGTCTGGGTAGGGAAAATTTCCACTTAAAATTGGACACTTGTCGCATCGTGGAGTTTTCCCGCGTGTTAAGAGGTGAGAGACTGCAACAATCGTGAGGGTCAGACTCTCCTCCCCCAGTTGGTTGACAGTCCAGAGGCGGGACCAGAGAGCCAAAGCTCAACCCCCGCAAGCACAATTAGACGCGTGCACGTCACAGTCACCAGACAGACAGACTACTCCGGCTGGACGAACTGAGATCGTGAGGTTAACACCGGGGTGCAAATTAAAGGAGCAAAGTGTCACTAACCAAGACATTAACAAGCCAACGAACTCGACCATTCATCCTAACCCCTTCTTTCTCTCACTAACCTCTCGTTATCAAACACCCCCTCCCCTCTTTCCCCTTCCTCTTCCCCCTTCCCTTTCTCCTCACCTCCCCCTCCCCCACCCCCTTTCCTCTAGCCCTCTGTCCTTCAAACCCCCATACACAAAACAACTCATTCGGGCCGCTGGGGCGTGTTCCGCAGTGTTAAGAAAACTCGTTTACTTACAAGTTGTGTGGGTGTTGTGTCCCACACACGGGAGAGATGTAGCGGAGGAGAGAGAGAAGGAACCTGGAGGGGGAAAGATTTCAGCCGATTACGTCCAAGGAGACCTTTTGTTCCAGCACGAAAATTTATCTTCTCCTATGCTGCTCTGGGCTTAGGGAGTTGGAGGGGGAGGAGGAGATGTGTAAATATTATAGCGGTTAATTAACAATCAATCTCCCCAAGTAACTTAGCTTCAATGGAGTCGAGATAAGATTATGCGATACGAGGAGAGGGGAGAGAGAGAGAGAGAGAAGAAAGGAGGGAGGGAGAGTGAGGAAGAGATGGGGGAAAGGGGCATAAATGAGAGGGAGGGGCTACCCCCCTCCCCCAGGCTGTGATCATATAGCCAGTGTTTGAACGACATTATAATTACAGCAACACTAAAAGGTCGACATTGTCCCAACACTTTTTTGTTTGGCATCCATTACCATGCCCTGATACGTCGAGTCTGGCGTAAGATAACGCTAACACACATGCGATTTGGACAGTCAAACAGTTGACTTTTGTAACGTATATTAGGCCCAACGAGCCGTGTGGGGGTGGGAGGGGGTGGCCTCTGGGGGTAAAACAATGTTATGACCAGCGATTTAGATTTTAGAAGTGTTGACTTTTGAAATGGGATAATAGTCCTTGCGTACCATGTACGGAGAGCATAGTGGTTACGGAGAGCTTAGATAACACATAACTCATGCAAGCAGTTAAGGCCCTGCACCGGTTGACGTTCTAACGGTGCATTAGACCTTACGAACCTTCCGGAGAAGGGTGGGTGGGGGGGGGGGTTTCGGGTCGAGAGAGTGCTAAACAACGGCATTGTTGAAGCAACCCAAGGATGCCGTGCCTCTCCGGTAGGACTAATTACCTGGTTTGACTAATTAATTGCCAAAGGTACATTATCTTTTTTATGTTTTGTTCAAGTGGAGAACACGCCGCTTTGCTGGACCCGGCTAGATTAATCCATAATCTGGGTAGTGAAAGAAATTTTTTTGTAACTGCTAATATACACATATTAATGTACAATAATTGTAAATAATTAAGACTCTGAAGTCAGACGTTTAGGGAACTGAAAATGTAAAATCAACTTAAGCTTTGACGATTACGAAAATATACAGTTTCGTGTTTTCTGGATTGGATACAGAATTGTAATTTGAATGTAACTTTGCATCAGCAGGCGAGTCATTAAGAATATTATCTTGGATATTTTATACATTAAAGAATTCATACACTGCCAGTCCGAATATAAAGTCTTTTGAATAAAAAATAATGACATGTGACAGGTGGACAGGTGTATACATGACAGGTGTTGTATCACATGTTGTATTACATGTAATACAACATGACAGGTGTGTACATGTATTACATGTGATACAACATGACAGGTGTTGTATCACATGTTGTATTATATGTGATACAACATAACTTGTGGTATAATGACCACAAAATACCAACAGTCGGTATATTATGAGATATACCCGTTATCTTGTAACTCCAAGATATGATATCAAGATATTCCAAGATTTTAGAAATAGGTGGAAGCATGGTTCCAAATTAACCCGTCCTCAGACCAAGTCCATTCCATCCAGCGGTCGACCCCAAAATACGCTCTCATCAATTTTAACATGCTGTTCATTTAAAATATGAATGTTCTCAAATATATAAATTAATATTGTTATACATTAGTAAATTATGCATATTTAGGCATTGGTTAGGTTAGGTTAGATGCCTAGGTTCTGTTAGATTTGTAGTACGTGGGTGAAACATTTACAGCGTTGTGGTTCAAACAAAAATCGTCAGCGAAGCACTTGTTCGAGAAGTGTTCGAACGTCATCAGTTGTGAATCGACTGTAAACCGTTTATCATTAATAAACCAGCCCGTCCTCCAAACAAAGATCCAAAAGTGATTCCATGCACCCGCCAACCCCCCTGTTTATGAATGAAAAGCGGTTTACACACGACTCACAACTGATGACGTTCGAATACTTGCGGAACGAGTGCTTCGCTCACGTCCTCTGTTCGAACCACAATTCTATAAATGTTTCACCCATGTACTTCAAATAAAAATAATCGCCAACAGAACCTAAACACCTGACCTAACCTAACCAATGCCTAAATATGCATAGTATGCTAATATATAACAATATTAATATATTTTTGAGAACATTCCTATTTAGAATGAACAGCATGTTAAAATTCATGAATGTGTGTTTAAGGTCCGCCGCTGCTTGGACGAGCATAGCCTGAGGACAGAGACAGACAGACAGACAGACAGACAGACAGACAGACAGACAGACAGGCAGACAGAGAGAGAATGAGATAGAGGAGAGTGGAGAGAGAGAGAGAGAGAGAGAGAGAGAGAGAGAGAGAGAGAGAGAGAGAGAGAGAGAGAGAGAGAGAGAGAGAGAGAGAGAGAGAGAAAGAGAGGAAGGGGAGTGAGAGAGAGTGAGAGCAGACAGACAGACAGAGAGAGAGAGAGAGAGAGAGAGAGAGAGAGAGAGAGAGAGAGAGAGAGAGAGAGAGAGAGAGAGAGAGACAGAGAGAGAGAGAGAATGAGATAGAGGAGAGTGGAGAGAGAGAGAGAGAGAGAGAGAGAGAGAGAGAGAGAGGAGAGAGAGAGAGAGAGAGAGAGAGAAAGAGAGGAAGGGGAGTGAGAGAGAGTGAGAGGCAGACAGACAGAGACAGATAGGGTCGTATATAGAGGACCTGATCCCTGGTATAAGAGAGAGAGAGAGGAGGGGAAGTGAGAGACAGAGAGTGAGCGAGAAGGAGAGACAGATCTGTGCACATGTTAGGGTGTACAAGCCCTTAATTAGCAGGTGTGTTGCACAGGTAGGATTCCCTAGAAGAAGGGAGGGAGGAAGGAGGGGGGTGTAAGAGCAGATTCAGGTGTAGGAAAGGGGAGGAGAAGGAACGGCGGGCGGAGGAAGGGGGGTGGAGAAAGGGGGGGGAGCTTCGTGCAGGGAGCCTGTGTTGACCAAGCAATTAGGATCAGCCACACACACACATACACACACAGACAGACACACACACACACACCGTGAGCTACCCTTACAACGAAGCCACAATACCGTGCTCTCCGGATTTAATCCCGTTCGTCTGTGTCATCCGACTGTAACATCAGCGCTGCGTATTTACACAAACGCAAATATATTATCCTCTTGTCAGAGACCTTGTGGATGTGTGTATAGCCGCAAGGAGGGAATAATCGCTTCTCCATCGGGGGAGGGAAGGATGGATGGCAACATTAAAAGATTCCTTCTTAATTTGGAGTGAAGGAGCCTGCCGAGGAGATGGTGTCAATACCCGCTGGACTAACAGAAAGAATAATTATCATTGTGTGCGCCGACATGATTCGATTTAGAGAGGAATTTGGGTGTTTGCTCTCGAGAATGGATCAATTTGCCACAAGGGAGAGAGAGAGCTTCGGCTATTCTGTGGGGTTCTTGCTTGCTTTGGTCTGTGGTTCTCTTGCTTATGTTGGTCTGTGGTTCTTGCTTGCGTTGGTCTGTGGTTCCTTTCCTTGCGTTACTCTGCATGTATTCTGCATGTTCTTCCTTGCATGTGTTGTTCTGTTCTTCCATAGCTTCGTTGTTTTGTAGTTCACTTGTTTGCGTTGTTCTGCGGTTCTATCGCTTGCGTTCTTCTGTTCCTCAATTGCCGGCGTTGTTCTGTAGTTCTCCTGCTTGTTCCGTTGCTCCTTTATTGTGTTATTCCCGAGTTTTCTTGCTTGCGTTGTTCATTTGTTCCCCTGGTTTGCGTCTTCCTTTGGTTCCTGGCTTCCGTTATTCTGCTGAATACTTGCTTGCGTTGTTCAGTTGTTCACCTGCTGCGTTGTTCTGTTGTTCCCTTGCGTGCGTTCACCATTTTTTTTCCTGGTTTGAGTTGTTCTCTGATTACGTTGCTTGCGTGGTTCTGTTATCTTGATAAAGAGAGAGAGAGAGAGAGAGAGAGAGAGAGAGAGAGAGAGAGAGAGAGAGAGAGAGAGAGAGAGAGAGAGAGAGAGAGAGAGAGAGAGAGAGAGAGAGAGAGAGAGAGAGACAGACAGACAGACAGACAGACAGACAGACAGACAGACAGAATTATCATAAATATATTCAGCAGAAATTAAACCAAGAAACATTGTGTCCTTTAAACAACTGGTCAAGTATCGCCTCTTTTAAAACCAAGCAAAAAGACTGTCTTTACAGCTCGAGCAAAGAGAAAACACTTTGGCTCTTTCATTTCCCCCTCCCCCCTTCCGTTCCTAATTGGTATGGACGTCGCGGTGGGCAAAATTGGCTGATTATTGTGCCTCGGGTAACCAAATTGGCAGGCAACTAACGCCTCACCAATTCTCCCCATTGTCACCCAAAATTTTTGCTTTGCTGGGCGGAGTGTAGCGAGGGAAGGGTAGCCGGCTCAGGGAGAAAGCGCCCTTATGTACCTCTAACCCAAAGGGATGCGATTAGCCTGAAAAGTGCTTTGCTAGCCTAGGCAACTCTAACGAACGAGGTGTGAAAACTGGATTTTGACCTGTGCGTCCTGTGGTCTGAAGGGTCAGTTTGGCTGGTTTAACTGTGAATGGGTTTAGGTTGTTGTTGTCTAGCTAATGGGTTGAAGTAGAGGGGGGGGGGCTCTCTCTTCCAGTGTGGGGGGGGTGAAGTGATGGGAAATTATTGTTCTGCTGAGTTCTTGTTTCCACCCCCCACCCACCCACCCCCCACCCACCCACCCCCCCACCCACCCCCCCCCTCTAGACCCCAATAAGTTGAACATCCAAATCAGAAAAACTTATTTAAATTTTATTTCCTTCAATGCTTTGCTTTAGTTATTTTTACAGTGGTCGGAAATATTGGAAGATAATTCTCTGAGATGATGCTTAATTCCTTTTATGTATTTTATCCTTAAAGGAGACAATGACAGGCGAGTTATTCTCAGGGCTGCGACACATAGAAAATCTCTCGTTATAAATACCGTCTCGTGTCACCTGAAAGTTTCCTCAAAGTTGCCTAAAAGGTGCCTCAATGTTGCTTAAAAGGTGCCTCAAAGTTGCCTCAAAGTTGCCTCAAAGTATTGACAACGACTCCATGATAACAGTACACAATGTCTAATGAGATTGTTGGGTCATTTGCAACGCAATAGTTGCTAAATGTAGCAAATAAATATATGCCAATATTGAGATCGAGGACTAGAACCTAAGACCGGATCCGATCGGCTATATACACAGCGGCATGTATTACCCCTACAACGCAACCGGATATCAATTTACATCCAGGTCCCCAGGTGGCGGTCAGTAGCAGGAATAGATTATATAGAGTATCCTTACATACATAGATTCGTACATACATACATATGCAGGCGGGACCAAAGAGCCAGAGCTCAACCCCCGCAAGCACAACTAGGTAATTACATACATACATACATACATACATACATACATACATACATACATACATTAAAAAGTGTACGACATAGAGGAAATGGATAAAAGAGAATCCTAAAGAGAGAGGAAATAGAGGAAGGGACTGAGGAAAATGGAGCAAAGGGAGAAGGGTGCTGGTGATAGGGAGAGAGAGAGGGAAATGGCAAAAACGACGAAAGGCAATACAAGCAAAGGGAAATGCCAGGAACGAGAGGGAGATTGATAGGTTATGGGATGGAGAGAGAGAGAGAGAGAGAGAGAGAGAGAGAGAGAGAGAGAGAGAGAGAGAGAGAGAGAGAGAGAGAGAGAGAGAGAGAGAGAGAGAGAGAGAGGGCAGTAATCATCAGGAGAGAGTGTAAAGTGAGAATGATTATAAAACACCTGGACTACAAATGAGAAGGAAGTGGAGGTACAGAGTCCAACCACTTGGACCAACGGGGATCGAACGCCGACCCTGCAGGAAGCGAGGCTGCCGTTGTACCGACATGTCCAAGAGGACGGAAAGGAAGCTCTAGGGGTCTTTGGTTTCAATAAGCCTGGAGCCAACATGTTGGAGAAAACGCCATCATGTTGTTTTCATGTTGTCTTGTCACTTTCTCCCTAGACGCCAAAGAATGAAGAATAGTTTGGATGAAGAGAGGGCAGGAGGGAGTGAGGAAGGGAGAGAGTGAGGGAGGGAGAAAGGGAATGAGGGAGGGAGAAAGGGAATGAGGGAGGGAGAGAGAGAGAGGGTTCACACTGCTGGTCCCCAACACTTGAAATCCTTCTTTTCGATGAGCCAAAGCTTGATTTTATTCACGAGTATTTAGAAAATTGTCTGAAGAACTTTTAATATTGAATTAAATAACAGAAAAGTCTAATATATATGTGTGTGTATGTGTATGTATGTGTTTACTAGTTGTGTTTTTACGGGGGTTGAGCTTTGCTCTTTCGGCCCGCCTCTCAACTGTCAATCAACTGTTTACTATTTTTTTTTTCTTTCTCTCTCTCCACACCACACACACACACACACACACACACACCAGGAAGCAGCCCGTGACAGCTGACTAACTCCCAGGTACCTATTTACTGCTAGGTAACAGGGGCATTCAGGGTGAAAGAAACTTTGCCCATTTGTTTCTGCCTCGTGCGGGAATCGAACCCGCGCCACAGAATTACGAATCCTGCGCGCTATCCACCAGGCTACGAGGCCCCCAAATGTGTGTGTGTGTGTGTGTGTGTGTGTGTGTGTGTGTGTGTGTGTGTGTGTGTGTGTGTGTGTGTGTGTGTGTGTGTGTGTGTGTGTGTGTGTGTGTGTGACTGTGGAGGAGCGACGAAAAGTGTGGCAGAAAGTGTGTGAGGGGGGGGGAGGAAAAGAGGGGGGGGGAAGATGCAGGAGGAAGACCTTCTCGCCTACCCCCAGCCTGTCACCAATCCACCGGACACATTTCCTTGCCGATACACAAAGTGGAGACAAAATTCAATTCTGGTGGTTTGTCTCGTGTGATCGACTCGGCCCGGGGTAATCGAGTTTGGCCGGGGGACAAGTGGACAGCTCTGCTTATCTTCAATTTAGCCGCCTGTCCAGTGGAGGGAGGAGTGTGTGGAGCAGGGAGAAGCACCTGCCGCAGTCGCCGGCCTGCTGCCCGCACCACCGCCGGCCTGCTGCCCGCACCACCGCCGGCCTGCTGTCCGCACCACCGCCGGCCTGCTGCCCGCACCACCGCCGGCCTGCTGTCCGCACCACCGCCGGCCTGCTGCCCGCACCACCACCGCCGGCCTGCTGTCCGCACCACCACCGCCGGCCTGCTGTCCGCACCACCACCGCCGGCCTGCTGCCCGCACCACTGCCGCCGCCGGCCTGCTGTCCGCACCACCGCCGGCCTGCTGTCCGCACCACCGCCGGCCTGCTGTCCGCACCACCGCCGGCCTGCTGCCCGCACCACCACCGCCGGCCTGCTGTCCGCACCACCACCGCCGGCCTGCTGGCCCCACCACCGCCGCCGGCCTGCTGTCCGCACCACCACCGCCGGCCTGCTGTCCGCACCACCGCCGCCGGCCTGCTGCCCGCACCACCACCGCCGGCCTGCTGTCCCCACCACCGCCGCCGGCCTGCTGCCCGCACCACCACCGCCGGCCTGCTGCCCGCACCACCGCCGCCGGCCTGCTGCCCGCACCACCACCGCCGGCCTGCTGGCCCCACCACCGCCGCCGGCCTGCTGTCCGCACCACTGCCGCCGCCGGCCTGCTGTCCGCACCACCGCCGGCCTGCTGTCCGCACCACCGCCGGCCTGCTGCCCGCACCACCACCGCCGGCCTGCTGTCCGCACCACCACCGCCGGCCTGCTGGCCCCACCACCGCCGCCGGCCTGCTGTCCGCACCACCACCGCCGGCCTGCTGTCCACACCACCACCGCCGGCCTGCTGTCCGCACCACCACCGCCGGCCTGCTGTCCCCACCACCGCCGCCGGCCTGCTGTCCGCACCACCACCGCCGGCCTGCTGCCCGCACCACCGCCGCCGGCCTGCTGCCCGCACCACTGCCGCCGGCCTGCTGCCCGCACCACTGCCGCCGGCCTGCTGCCCGCACCACTGCCGCCGGCCTGCTGCCCGCACCACTGCCGCCGGCCTGCTGCCCGCACCACCGCCGCCGGCCTGCTGGCCGCACCACGGCCACCAACACCACCAGGCTGAGGCCATCGAAGAAAAGAATTAAGAAGGAAGTTCACGAAGAGCAAGAAGAGGAAGATGGTAACGGACAGAAGAATAAACGTGGATACGAAGAGGATAACAAAAAGTAGGTTGCGAAGAAGAGGATAAGGAAAGGGTAAACCAAATGAGAGGATAAGAAAGTAATCGACCCCGAAGAGGCAAAACAAAAAGGATGATATAAAGACGAATGAAAATGAAGATATTGGCAAAGAAGAGAAAAAATAAAACATATCAATAAATGGGAGCAGAACAAGAGCGTTTAATAAGGCTGTAAGCAAGAGGAAAAGGATCGACAAATGAAAAGCAATAACAAAGGACATGTTGGCGACCACGACGTGATAACAAGAACAGTGCCAGGAAGGTGAAGAGGCAATAACTAATGAGAGAGAGAGGTAGAGAATAGTGTTGGAGAACATGGGGAGAACTGAGATAGAGAACATGAGGACGAGAGAGCTGGGGAACCTGGGGAGAACTGAGTTAGAGAACATGAGGACACAAGAGATGGGGAACACGGGGAAAATTAAGTTGAAGAACAATGGGGGACGAGAGAGCTGGAACACGGGAAGTGGTATCAATCCTACTTCTCTTTCCCTTGTCCCAACACCTATATTTTCATTGTAAATATAGTCAGTCACCAGAATACAGTGGTTACTAGTTCCTAATGAAACGTTTTGATCTATCATTATATCTACTCCACTCAATGTGTATATTAGGTCAACCCTAGACAATTCATCTCTCATCTAAGCTATTTTTCTGATATATATTAGAAGAGTTTTTTTTTTGCAGCTTCTGCTCCCGTCCTTAAATATTTATCTTAACTGTGGCAGTTTCATAGCTCGCAGTCCTTTCGGTCTCCTGGCTCTTAATACCATTTCAATCTCCTTACACTTGCTGGTGTTGAACTCTAGCAGCCATTTCTCAGACCAGCTCTGCAACCTATTCAAAACCATCCTGGAGAATCTTACAATCCTCATCTGTCTCAATACTCTTCATTAGTTTTGCATCATCTGCAAACATCGACACATATCATCTGCAAACATCAACATATGAGGAATTGTATGGGACCCAGCTCCGATCTTTGAGGCACCCCGCTTGTAACTCTACGCCAATCATACTCCTCGCCCCTCACCGTCACTAACACATGTTTGTTAGGTAATTCCTTACCCATATTAATGCGTTGCCACCTACTCCCGCCTGGCTCTCAAGTTTGTATAGAAACCTCCTATGTGATACTGTATCAAGGGCTTTTTGGCAGTCCAGAAATTCACAATCTGCCCAGCCTTCTCTGTCTTGCCTTATTTTCATTACCTTATCATAAAACTCCAGGAGGTTCGTCAGGCATGATTTCTCCCTCTCTAAAGCCGTGTTGTTGTATACTTACAATCCTAATTTTTTTCTAGGGTGCAACTAGTTTTAACCTTATAGTTGTTTCAAGTACTTTGCAAGGAATGCTTGAGAGTGACACTGGTCTCTAGTTAAGTGTCTCTTCTCTGAGTGTTAGCTAAGACATTTAAGAAGAATTACCCAAAAATATTTTTATTCACTTCTTATACAATTATAAAATAAGCAATTAACAACATTCCGCATATAGGAGCAATACATTCACTCAAAGATTTAATATATATACATAAACATAATTATTTCAGAGGTAGAATTCCTTCTTGAAAATGGTAATCATATATGAGGATCAGTAGTTTCAGATATAAAAATTACATCAATTAATTTTCATAACAAATATTTTGATGGATATACTCCATCATCATCATCATCATTTACCCCCATCCCTATATTAATATATTACGGATATTAATATTCTTAATATCCGTAATATTCTTAAAAATATTAACATGCTTTTCCTGTAATATATTAATATAATACTATATTAATATACATTTATATTCTAAATCCGTAATATTCTTAAAAATTCCTATACCCATATTAGCTTTCAGTTTGTTTACCAATATCATACTTTTTTGGAAACTATTTAAAACCTTAACCCTTTGACCTTGTTGTCTTTTTTAAATGTCTCGACCGAAACTTTTGGTAAGTGAAGGTGAGGGGGGGGGAGGAGAGTATATACGTCATGAATATGTAATCACCGTATATGCGATCATATATATATATGTATATATCTTGCCACTCAGGTTTGTTTCTTGAGCGTGTTTCTGGAGATGTCTTGCTCAGCCCTGAGCCGTCTGCTCACTCCAAACGACCTTACGCTACTGACTTCCATTTGTCGTCGACTAGAACTCAAAATCTTGTGTTCTGTTTACATGGACTAAATGAGATCGGGGTTAAACAATTCCGAGACTTCGACTCTATTTTTTGTGTCTTCTTGAAGTCAGTTGTTAGGTTATTTTACGTTATATTTTCGATTCTGTTTATAACTTAAAAAAATTTTTTACTTCTTATACAGTATCTCTGTTTAGGTTTTTATTGTCCTAGTCTTTTAATGATATTGATTTTCTTAAATCATTGAACTTTTTTATTGATGGTTTTTAGTTAATTTCTGCTTTGTGCTCTTTTTAATCACCGATAATGGAGTATATTCTCCGAAACGATACCTTTGGGAAATGAATTGATATTTGTATTTTCTCTGCTACTAATTTTCCTCATGTGTACAAGTGTTTACATATGTACACATGAGGAAATGTACACATATTTACATATGTACACTGAGGAAATGTACACATATTTACATATGTACACTGAGGAAATTGTACATATTTACAAATGTACATATATGTACACATATGTTTACATATGTACACATGAAAAAAAATATGTTTACATATTTATCTATTTATTATTTATTTTGGGGAAACTTCTGTCAATAATCGAACTCGGGTCTATAATAGTCTATAAATAGTCTGATCTATAATACTCTGTTCTCTATATCTACTTAATTCATTTTGTAACTCAGGTTGACTATAGGAAGTTCATCCACTCCTCATCAATGTTATTTTGTTCAACATATTACACAACAAAAACATTCTTTCTCCAGTATTTTCTTAACTCACGTCTTAATTTTACCTCTCAAATGGCAGTGTTTCATCTCCCAGTCTATCTGATCATAATTCTCAAAGATTATTACTTTTAGTCTCATATATATAATCTATGTTAATGATTAAGAGGCTGACTAGATATCCAAGAACAAAAAAATAGCATACTAGCCTCTTCTCCACTCTCTCTCTCTCTCTCTCTCTCTCTCTCTCTCTCTCTCTCTCTCTCTCTCTCTCTCTCTCTCTCTCTCTCTCTCTCTCTCTCTCTCTGGAAAATGTGCCTAGTATATCCATTATACTTTAACAAGCCAATGCACTCCTGAGGAAAGACATATATGTACAAGGAATCTATGTTAATTATATATTAAACCTAACGGACAGAGCACCAACACTACAGAGACGAATTTCAGTGTCTTGTAACCCGACGTTTATGATTCGTTTGTTAGTCGTTAAGTGTCAAAAATATCAGTAGTTACTTTAATTTTATTACTTAACAATGCTGAAGTACAAACATACAGCTTCAAACATTTACAAGGAAATTATTATTATTTACTTATAAGTATCACGTTAGGTAAAATATGTTAACTAAAAGCAGGGAAAATGTTGGTCATCCCCAGCATCTAATAGCCACTTACATAGCAGCAATAACTAGTGTTTAAATACTTGGGTCAAGGGGCCAGATTCACGAAGCAGTTACGCAAGCACTTACGAACCTGTCCATCTTTTCTGAATCTTTGACGACTTTGTTTACAATTATTAAACAGTTAATGAGCTCCGAAGCACCAGGAGGCTATTTATAATAATAACAACAGTTGATTGGGAAGTTTTCATGCTTGTAAACTGTTTAATAAATGTAACCAAAGCCGTCAAAGATTGAGGAAAGATGTACACTTTCGTAAGTACTTGCGTAACTGCTTTGTGAATCCGGGTCGAGGTTACTGAGTTATTCTACTCAGCAATTCAAACGTGAAGCAATTCTAAAATAGCAAGATCAACCTTGCAAGAAGGAGTTAGATGATGAAGTCCTTATAAGCGAAAGCGTAGTTGAGGAGTGATCTATCTTGAGATGAATTCGGGGCTTAGCGTCCCCGCGGCCCGGTCCTCGACCCGGTGATGGTCATGGATAGCGTACAGTTTTACTTGTCTCAGTTGCTTCGACTCTCCAAAAGCCTCACTTGACTTTGTCCTCCGAACTCTTATATTTGATGACAGCCCGTCCTCATCAACAAAGATCAAATACTCATTAATCCAGCCGACAAACCCCATGTTTATGAATGAAAAATCGTTTTCACACGACTCCCAACTGATAACGTTCGAACATTTCTCGAACAGTGCTTCGCTGACGACCTCTGTTCGAATCGTAACTCCGTAAATGCTTCACCCCACGTACTGCAAATGCAAATAATCGCCAACAGAATCTAAACACCTAACCTAACCTACGCCTAGCTATACACACAACTTAAATATATAATAATATCAATGTATAAATGAGAACAAACCTATTTTTAATACACAGTCTGTTGAAACGTGTCTTGGCGGGCAGCCGCGACTTTAACGATCCTGGCCTGAGGACAGGTTGCCGCTGAAGCACTTTCACCATTGATTAGGCACCTATTGCTCTTTTATATCCCAGCTTCTTGTCCTCGTATCCCAGTTCTTTGTCCTCGTATCCCAGCGCCTTGTCTGTTTATTCAGAGGTACGCAGCCATACAGATCCAGCGCTTTCTCCTGCTAATTACCTTATCTTATCTCGTCAGTCTTCCACCTTAAACTTGCATATCTTTCTCTCCTCTACTCTTTATCCCAAGACTCTTGCTCTCAGGAGCTCCGAGTTTTGAGCTCTATATAGCAGACTAAAGCACTCTTGTCTCTCATTTTGCGGCTACACAATTTGTTTTTAAGCAGCTCGTAAATGTGTGTGTTTTTGAAGAGGAAGAACGGACTGGACATTAATCATGGCAGGGGCATAGACCTGTGCCCCTGCCAATCATGCCCAGGGCACAGACCTGTGCCCTGTCAATCTTGCCCAGGGCACAGACGGGGTAGGCTTCAGCATGCTTAGCGTCACATATCAAGTTTCAGACAAAGACTCATCGGTTTTTATGTACTATTTTCGCATCAAGTGCATCTTTTTTATTCACATATTAGACCATCTCCAGTTTCATCTCCTCCCACAATGGTCATTCCTTCGATCACTTCTTATCAGTTACCCTAGATCAGTGACCTCCTCGTAGATGTGTTCGGGGGTCGGTGGGTTCTGATTGTCGCGGTCGAGTGACCTTTGACCCGGTCTCACTTCACCTACAGGCGTTGTTGACCTCGACGATTTCTGAACGCTTGTACCCCCACCGGAACTTCCATCGCAAACAGGATAATTGGCGTATTCTGTTACACTAATATTTTCATACACTGGTTCCTGTATGCTTGTAGGTTCTGTTAAGACGTTTCCGATATTTAAATAAACGTGATCTCCAAGTTCTGGGCACAAGAATTTTGCCATATTATCATTAGGAACATTGCTCCCTGACTCTCCCTTTCTCTCTAGGGTCCTACTTATATATTCCAAGTCAACGTAGGAGTAAGGACCGTCGTTATTGGAAGCGGAATGTACTGGATTCAATTTAATTAACCCGACTGAGTCGGGTACGTTCCGCTGCGGATGTGTCTGTATTAAGCGAGCCAGCTCTAAGATTTTGGACTTAGGAGGAGCGGCAGGCTCCTGATCCTTCCCTGGGCCCTCGGGATCCTTCCCTGGGCCCTCGGGATCCTCTGTGGTGGTGCTGGTGGTCGGGTGTTTCAGCCGGCGACGCAGGTAGAAGGCGTACACGACGGCGCACAGGAGCAGTACAAGCAAGAACCCGAAGCCAACGCCGATGCCTATGTTCATGGCTGAGTCAGTATCGGGAGTGGGTTGGGTAGTAGTGGTTGTTTGGGTGGTGGTGGTGGTGGTGGTGGGTTCGGTGGTGGTGGTGGGTTCGGTGGTGGTGGTGGTGGTGGTGGTGGTGGTGGTGGTGGTGGTGATGGGTGTGGCGGGAGGCTTTGCAGTCATTCCGACGGAGTTGAAATATCTTGATTTCTGTGGATGAATTAAGGAAATAAATAACAAATAAGAATGATTACTACGTGTGTGACCATAAGCTTGCAAAACACATGTACTGACCTTACGCAGACCTGGTCGTTGAAGGTCACGACCTGGTCGTTGAAGGTCACGACCTGGTCGTTGCAGGTCACGACCTGGTCCTTAACCCAAGACCGTCCACACTTCCGTTGTTTCAAGATAATGTAGATTTCCCTGCAAAAGATTAAGTCCAGTTCATCATTAGGTCCAAGAGGTGAACGTCTGATCTAAATGAGAAATTATTGGCTGAATTATACATTTATAAACAGACTGACATTATTTGGGTCTCTCTCTCTCTCTCTCTCTCTCTCTCTCTCTCTCTCTCTCTCTCTCTCTCTCTCATATTAATTGCAATAATTATAATTATAATAGAACTAAGAGTAATAATTTTGGTATTAATATTAGTATTGTAACAAATATTGGAATTAACAATAAAATTGCTGAGACATTTGTAATCCAACCATTACTAAGGGTAATGATATGGATAATAAGAAAAGTACTCGTATTAATTAAAGTTATACTGGTATAATATACTGGTTATGTTATTTGTAACAATAATTACAAATAACAATAAAAAGATAGGCACTTGTTGGTGAATCATATGAGTTCCGCCAGGAGGCCCTGTGCAATGTAGGTGGGAGCAGATTATAGCATTATTTGAATGTGATTTCATCTTAGGTTTGTGATACTGTATGATACGCTTGGAAGAGATAAAAGCTGCTTTATGATCCACAGATTCATCAACACACACACACGGAGGTTTCTGTGCTAGTAACAACGACTGGTGCATCATTTGTAAAGCAGAATGCAAGGTGAGAGTTTAACTCCTATAGTGCTTGTGCTATTTTGTAATACGCCACTGCGTATTACATGGGGATAACTCATATCGCACCGACGGGTTTCCCTCTTCTATATTCGTGCTTGTGTGTGTGTGCTGATTCTTCCGTTGTCAGCTCCGTCATCGAAGTCAACATATGAACACTTAGAGTCAAGAAATCCAGCCACAGAGAGACCGGGCCTCCAGCAGAACTGTTCTTACTCACCAATGTTTGACAGTTTTGTATAAAGACTGGTTAGTACACTTTGACTGGTGAGTATTCATCACTAGGTGAGTACACAACACTAGGTGAGTATCTAAGCTATGCTTGATCTACAACGTGCCTCTAGCTAGCCCTCAAGCGACAGAATGTACTTTGGTCAGAGTCAGCGTTGGTAACGCTAGAGATGTAATCGATGGTTTTCGGGATTCGTAGTCAGCTCTCAAGCGCTAAAATATACTGTTAGACATCAGTGCTATATTACGATTCTAAACTTCTACTTGATCAGCTCTTAACTATCCCTCAAGCATCGCATTGCATCGTCACATTAATTTAAATGTGTGAGATTCACACCGGAAAGAACCCATACGAGACAGGAGCTAACTTATGTAAGAATTCCCAGAATTTCTCGACTCTCAAGTGTAATGTTTGAATTCTTAACCAAAGAAATTTATGAGCCATAAAATATTACAAAATTGGCCGATGCCTATTACGTTCAGGTGTAGTTCAGGATGAGACATTTAGCCACATTTCTTTACAATTGATGCCTCAGTTCACCTAACAGTAAATAGCCTCCTATGAGTTAATAAACTATTGTGAGTAGCATCTCGTGAAAGGTAAGTTGTTGGCCTAATGGGACCTCCAGAAGTCTTACATTTTCCAATTTGAAAGGTGATTATGAACCACATAATAAACCTCACCAATTTGTGCTGGAAAGCCATGCATTTGTTCCTAACAAGTTGATTCTGAAGCTGTAGAAACCTCCAAAGAAAGTTGAATGGAGAACTGCATAGTCGTTCTGGATATGAGAAGGGAACGACACGAGGTTATCAGCACCACTGTGGTGCAAGGGAGGCCGATACAGGAGCAGGGAAGTCACTGTCGAGGAGGGCTGGAAAACTCACTGCTGCAGGATTCACACATTAAGTGACAGGAGATCCTAACACAGTGTAATAAGGTCTCCGAACACTGCGTGACTAGGTCCCCGAACATTGCGTGACTAGGTCTCCGAACACTGCGTGACTAGGTCTCCGAACACTGCGTGACTAGGTCTCCGAACACTGCGTGACTAGGTCTCCGAACACTGCGTGACTAGGTCTCCAAACACTGCGTGACTAGGTCTCCAAACACTGCGTGACTAGGTCTCCGAACACTGCGTGAGAGAGGAGGTAACACCAGAGCAGCGAGTATACAACACAGCTGGTGTTGCACGACTGTTTGTCGCCCCCCGGCTCACACAACACAGGAAGGATGAGCTGATAGGAGTGCTAGTGACGCAAGGACTCCTGGTGACGTTGTCTTGGTCACGTTGTCCTGGTGACGTTGTCTTGGTGACCTAGTCCTGGTGACCTAGTCCTGGTAACCTAGTCCTGGTGACGTAGTCCTGGTCACGTAGTTCTGGTGATCTAGTCCTGGTGACCTAGTCCTGGTGACCTAGTCCTGGTGACGTTGTCCTGGTGACCTAGTCCTGGTGACGTTGTCCTGGTGACGTTGTCCTGGTGACCTAGTCCTGGTGACGTTGTCCTGGTGACGTTGTCCTGGTGACCTAGTCCTGGTGACGTTGTCCTGGTGACGTTGTCCTGGTGACCTAGTCCTGGTGACGTTGTCCTGGTGACCTAGTCCTGGTGACGTAGTCCTGGTGACGTAGAGAGGGGCATCTCACGGCTGCCTATTCCTAGTTTTGAGGAGTTGAGAGGCGAGTAAATCAACGAAAAACGGAAATCAAAGATGCAAAAGTGTTTTTTAAACCACTTGAACAATACCAAGAACATTTATAAGAGATCTGGAATGTATATGATTTACTTGTAAGAGACTTGAAGAATGTCAAACGCACTCGTGGAAGAAGGCTTATATGTAGCCTTCAACGATACCAAAAAGATCTTTAAATATTATTCAATAATAAATCATTCTGAAACTCCCAAAAGTTCAAGACTAAAAAAATAATAAATAATCGACATTTTGTTTTTAATTTACTCAATAACACCAATAACGTTGTTATTTCATTAATTCGTTGCCCAACCACTTGGACTGGACGGTAGAGCGACGGTCTTGCTTCATGCAGATCGGCGTTCAATTCCCGACCGTCCAAGTGGTTGGACACCATTCCTTCCCCCCATCCCATCCCAGACCCTTATCCTGACCCCTTCCAAGTGCTATATAGCCATAATGGCTTGGCGCTTTCCCTTGATAATTCCTTCCTTCCTTCATTAATTCGTTTTGTTTCGACTTCTCTGTGTTAAAGGTAAATTTCATTGACTTTAGATACTAAATCCATCAGTCGCTGACTTGAGATTCTTAACCCAACTCTTATTGATTTATCATCTTCATTGACTATCTTTATTTACTGTTTATTTACCTCCCCATCTACCGCCTCTCACCCACAACCTACCATCTACCGCCTCTCACCCACAACCTACCATCTACCGCCTCTCACCCACAACCTACCATCTACCGCCTCTCACCCACAACCTACCATCTACCACCACACAACCTCCGACCTACCGCCAAACTTGCTTGTAACAATTAACATAAAACAAACCTTCCCAAGGACTTTGCATTCAGTGAAGTGACAGGTGGACGGAGCGCTAAATACATGGCTTGTGGAACTTTACCTGTAGCTGCGCGCCTTGTATTTGTCTCGCGAAGGGAAACTATGAGATAGGGAATAAGAAGAAGAAGCAGGGATGGAAGTTAAATAAATAGAGAAGAAAGATAGAGGCTAGGAATCAAGGCGAGAGTTCTGGGAATAAAGGAGAAAAGCTTAGAAAGGGAAAAGAGAGTGTGAGAATGAAAAGAAGATGGGAAAGGTAAAGACAGATAATATCAAGAGAAAGAGAAAGAGAGAGAGAGAGAGAGAGAGAGAGAGAGAGAGAGAGAGAGAGAGAGAGAGAGAGAGAGAGAGAGAGAGAGAGAGAGAGAGAGAGAGAGAGAGAGAGAAATCAGAAAGTCCCCCCACCCTCTTCTCCAGCCTAAGTTTTCAGAAGCCTCCCTCCCAACCCTCTCCCTTCATCAACCCCTTAGTGAACGTCCCTTAACCTGCGTGCCCCCTCCCCCCATTACACCCACCCCGGTCCCTGAGTCCCCCCCCCCTCCCCATCATATTAGCACGCCTCGCCACTCCTCAAAGCCGTGGTAGAGGACGAGGCTGTGTGGAGGAGCGGCGCCATGAATGGGGTGTCCACGACGCCACCTACGCCATCCTCCACCACAGTATATAATATTCCTTGTACTTTCTCTTTCTCTCAGGCGTTAATGGGGTCCTGGAGGCGACGATCGTCCCCCGGAGACGACCCGGTACAGCGTGGACAGGTCACGGGAGCCTCGGCCAGTTTTCCAAGCCTCCTCCTTGAAGAATTTTGCAGGTAGGAAGCGTATGATTCAACGGAAACATATAGTTCCCTCTGGCTCTGTGTTGGGCCCTCAATGGTTCCATAGTATTAAATACAGTTTCAACTGTCTTTTGTGCAGTGTGAATACTGTCTCTGTAATTCGCTCAGAGGATTGGGTTTTTATTTTTTTTGAGGAGGGGCTCTTACATTAGGGGGGCGGACAGGAAGTTTGTGGTATTTTGGTACACTGAAGCGGGCTCTAGTGACTCTGAATGCTGAGTTTTGGCAACGGGTCTACGATACGACAACCCGCTCTCGCACAAGACAGTACATATATGACTTATTGCTTATAGCCAATATTCTGCATATTGATAAGTACATATGTGGTATATGCCAAGTTATATTTTGTTTTCAAGGTATAAACTCTTCCTATAGAATAAATAAATTATTCATAATAAATTAGTATGTCACATTTGCACTTATTAATAAGCCAAATATTGACTATAAGCAAGTACGAGAACGGGTGGTCAGCTGGTAAAATATGCTCAGGTAACGCTGAATCAACGTTGATTAAACGTTACTCGAACAACGTTTTGCCTGCTGAGATCTCTAAAGGCACAACGTCTCAAACATTCTCTTGAGCAACTCAAAACGTTTCTTTCTGTTCTTTTCATCGTTCTTATAATTCAATATTTTAATGACATTTTTTCATAATGAGTTTTCTTACTGGGTATTAATGAGCTTACTTGAATCGTTTTTTAATTGATCAATTAAAACTAGGTCTACATTGTACAGGTAATATTGCATGGTTTTGTGACTTGTATTAAAGCAGATTCAATAATGTTTCTATTGCAAATGTTTGTACAATTAGTTATTGAATAAGAACTCATTTTTTGATTCACCCAATCAATTTGGTGAGAATTTTCTGATAAATGATTTAAATTCATTTATATAGAATTTACAACGTATTATGTATATAACACATTTATCACTACGAGGGCTGTTTCTAAATAATTATTTTCCAACTGTATTTTCATAATTAAACAAAACCTGTATCAAAAAGTTTCAAGACCTTGACAATAAATTCTATATATGTCAAAGTCCTAGCAATAGACACCTCAGCTTCTGCCTTTCTTTCTCAACTGTTGTCCTGTCTCGATAATCAGTTTTATGTGGAGTGAAGCAGCGTTATAAATTCATATATACTGAGGCCATGTGATGAGATCGAACTTACATCTATGGACTTCCCAAATACTGTATGTGTATGGCCTAAATATTTTCTAATTGATGCATTAAATTCTTGAAATAAACATTATTCAGTGTTCCATATTTTCCTGTTCACTTCGTGATTGTATGAGCGTGAGTCAGACGCATGCGGGTGACTGTGTAACTAGATCATCATGGTTGTCACTAGCTAAGCTAAAGGAATGTTGGGCTTCAGCTCATGAGCCCACTATATATACCTCTGTAACCTTTTTCACTACCACCCATGAGATGGGTATGAGAGGCATGATAAATAAACTAAACTATCTCAGTTTGTACGGGAATATAACGCGAAACAACGAAACCAGTTGATCTTTATGGAGGGTAATAACCAGGGATCTCAATGATTGTTAAAGCAAGCGAATTAATAACTACCAACAAACTGGTCATTTGGCCTTCGACGACGACTACATCATATTGACCCATTAGTCACGATGACGACGATGACCCTCGGTTGTGCTTTGACGGTCACGGGTCCCAGTGACGACGGTGACTCTGAAGACGCTATAAATATCTACACATACATCCGCCACGGTGACACATATATCCGTCACGATCACACATACATGTCATTGTGACACATACATCAGTCATGGTGACATATGACCCCCCTCCCCCAGGCCGTGAAGGTAACCCCCCCTCCCCCATGTCTGCAGTTCCCCCCCCCCCTTCACCTCTCACCCCCAGTACGTCGACAGGTAACATACTTGCATATGTAAAGGAAGAAATGTACATGTTTATCACTCAGCATGCTCGGTAATATGGTTATTGTTTGTGAAGGGTGATTTTCCAGCTCTCGTGTCTCGGGTGTAACGTTGAACACCATAGTTGTGAGTAACTCCAAATCGCTGCCGCTTTCTTCAGTAATCATGGTAATATCTGGTCTGGTCCTTCTTCTTTCGCTACTTTCAGCTCCTCCAGGTGTCCTTTTTGGCTCTTATTCATTAACCTCAATTGTCTAGTATTGCGTCTGTTGTCAACCTTCCTTAAACAGCAATCCGTTTCTGGTTAACAGACATCCTGGAACCTCTTTTTATTTTCTTGAGCTCTTCAAACATTTCTTTATCTGTCTCCAAGAGTGTTCCTCTTTGTCCCGGAAGTCTGATCCCATGATCTCGTACCGTTGTTTGGCTCCGTATACGGCTGTACAACAGCTTAGGTCAGGCTCTTAGCTTTTACTGTGGCAAAGTCATTTTCAAACTGCTGCCCTGATGCCTTTCTTATTCTGATGTACCCCTTTATGACCCTCTTAAGTGTCTCCGTTTGTCTCTGTAACCAGGTAACTATACTTTCCCATGTCTTTTGAGTCCTCGTTTTCCTCGTTATATTGTCTGTTGACTGGTGTTGGAGGCCACGATGCTAAAACAAAACACACACACACAGAAAACAAAACAAAAACATCCGCCCAAAGCTGTAAGAGCCGGGACAAGAAGCGCCTATACACAACGTAGTGAGAGCTGGTCGAAAACCTCGCAATGAGAGCCTCGAAGACTCGCTCTTAGCGAATGTAGCGCGCACACACACACACACACACAGAGCCCTCTAGCTGTGACCATCTATCTTGCTATAAGATGTGGTGACACTGCGGTGAATGGCAGCCTTCACGGGGGTCGAGGGGCGGAAGTAAGCGGGT